ACCAGACATGACCGTGGTGCACAATACATACATTCAGAAAAAAATAGGTAAATATAAAAAATATTATTTTGAAAAGAACACATTAATCTATACAGATTTAAATATTCCCTCACCACCAATGTTTGGGATTGTAAAAATTCAGGACAATAAAGCTTCCTTTATCTATATTCTTCTACTAGCTTGTTGTAAATTGAGTTTTTTAAAGTGCATTGCATGTCATTATTACATCTACCAATTTGAAAGTCCATGCCCCAACGTTTATTTCTAGGAGAAAACATGTTCTTTGTCTCAACCATACTATTTAAGAAATGCCTGTTGATTCCCTTCCTTAGCTGTAAGAGCTACAAGCCCCTATAAGTGAGTTGTCCGATGCCATGTAACATTAAGCTGCATTCCAAACTCGGTCTTGGTGACTGTTAGTCTTATTACTTCTTTCCATGACCTAGAAGTAGACAGGTTTTAATAAGACTGTTTTAATTTTCTTAATACTGTTTGCGTGCCCTTTTCTAGAGGAATAATTTCCAGAAACTTGACAAATGACCATTGTCTTTTGGAGTAAATGATACTAATTACCACTGTTCTCTTTCCGATTTAATCTTTATAGATAAAATCAACATTTCTAGATAAACATCAGCATTGTTGTGCTGTGCTATACCATACTCTGCTCTGCTCTGCTTTGCTATTCAGTCTTCCTAGAACTTTCATCTTGCCTTTAGTTTTCTCTTGTGCACAGCCTCAGTGTGGGTGTTGTGCTGCGTGTATCTCTCTGATCTAGACAAGTTGCCTGCAGCCAACTTCCTCTTGAAAGTCTCTGCTATTCGCTGAGGTCATTTTTCAGGCCTCCCAGTTGTATCTGAAACATAGCAACTGTTTGTCTCAGATTCCATGGTTACAGATGAAACAAACTCTAAATAATCAGAAGTCATCTTTGGCCCAAATGAGTGTGAATGCATGCTAGCAGTAGATGTTCAGTGTCTCTCTTTCAACTCGAATGAGTCATGAAGAGGCAGATTTCATCTTGTGAGACGATTAGAATGAGTTGTCTCCCAAAGAGGCCTGAGTCCCTTATCACCAGGCACCATGATTCCTTCAGGGGTGTTAAAAGGAGCTTCTGCTTTTGCTTGGGACTACACAGCTTTTAAAATGCTGTGGATTTAAATTACTTATAACACTGCCCAGGAAGTTAAGTTACTAAATTGCAGTCACCCTGGGTTCGTGTGGAATCAAAAGAGAGGAAGTGAAAAAGATTTAGCTCGCTTCCCAAATGCATGGTTGTTTTCTAATGCTCTTGAAATCCTTCTACTCCACATCCCAGTTTCCAACTCCTTATAATCAGAGTAGCAGCATATCATACTGTATGTCTGTGAAGATATTTTGATTTTTTTTTAAAGGAGCAATATACTACAGTATTTGACTTCCGGTGAAGTTACCAGATTGTGTGCCCAGCAAATACCTACTGATCACGTACTCAATATAAAACATTGTTAGATGCTCTGAGGATTGTAAAACCACTGTGAATGATGAATACACTCACCAGTTTCAGGTGGGAAAAAAAAAAAAAAAAAGCAGGCATAGGAAAGCTGAGTAACTGTTTAGTGGCAGAAGCAGACTGGATTTCAAGTCTCCCTCACCAGGTTGGGTCAAGTGTAAATTCTGCACATGTCTAAATATATTGAACATGTACTTAGAACTCATTCCTTTTTTTTTTTCATAGATGTGTCACAGGTCTAAACAACAGGGATTTAATTACTGTACATCAGCCATTTCTTCTCCATTGACAAAATCCATCTCATTAATGACTATTAGTCATCCTGGATTGGACAGTGAGTATACCACTTTTTAAAAATAAATATATCTTAACCACTTTTCCTAAACTTTTTACTTTAGGATCTTATTAACTTCGCAGATTTTGTCTGCTTCTTCTTTTGACTAAGTGGCTTCACAGAAACGCTAATGTAGAGATCAGCGGCCAGCTCTTCCTTTGGCTAACACAGAAACCTCTTTGGTACATATATTGCATTTGTTATATTGTGGAGTGTAAATATGATAACATTTTTTAAAAGGGCTTCAGAAGTAATTTCAGACTTGAAAAATTATGGATAAAAATGATTCTCACTAGAAAAATACATGGCAAGAAAAATCCCTGGCTAAAATAGTGTAAAGAAGCCAGATGGTAGTGGCCTGTTACACCCTGTCCCAGCACATTAGAAGGCAGAGGCAATCAGATCTCTGAGTTCAAGGCCACCCTGGTCTACAGAGTGAGTTACAGGACAGTGAGAGCTATCCAGAGGAACCCTGATTCTAAAAAACAAAACAAACAAACAAAAAACTTGGTATAAGAGAATTTATGTATTTCTTCCTCCAACCCCCAAATGTTAACTATAAAATTCCTTATTTTTCCATGATACTCCTTTCTTTATCACTCCTCTTCAGAGTAGATTCTTTTCTTTTCTTTTGATTTTCAAGACAGGGTTTCTCTGTAGCTTTGGAGCCTGTTCAATTTGTAAGACCAGGCTGGCCTTCCTGAGATCTGCCTGCACCTCTGCCTCCCGGATGCTGGGATTACAGTCATAACCACCACCACCCCAGAGATACTAGGTTTCTTTACCTCTAAATAATTTAGTAAGTTAAAAAAAAATATACTCTTTCCTGTGGTAATATAATTTTCTGAGTCAGGAAGTTAATCATGATTAATTGACCTAATGTAGACACATTCCATTTTTCTCACCTTTTTCCTGGGACAGATGTTGAAATGAGTGTTATTGTCACAGTAGGCTCCTTTAAAATATAGAAATATTTCTCAAGTGATCTTGTCCCTGCTAAGCTTGAGAGAGGGCAATCTAGTCTGCACACTCAGAAATGTCAAGCTCAGCCAGACAGAGCTGATGGACATTTGTGCCCCAGAAAGTACCAGAGGATGTAGTCTGAAAGTTGACTGTAAAACTGCAGTTGTAGATTAATTGGCTGTCAAGAGTATATTGACAGTTGGACTCTTGCGCACAGGTCATTTGTGAAGAAAAATGCTTACAAACATATTTTAATTATATAATGTTTGTCACCGATTTATTCCTTAAGGAAACTCCTTTTATTATTAGATTTGTTTATATTGTGTGTGTGTGGGTGTTTTGCTTATATCTGTGTCTATTATCACATATGTGCTGTACCCACAGAGTCCAGAAGAGGGCACTGACTAAAGTTACACATAGTTGTGAGTTGCCATATGGGTGCTGGAAATCAAACCCAGGTCCTCTGGAAAAACTAGCCATTGCTCTTAACCACTGAGCCATCTGTTTAGATCAAAGAACCTCTTTTAAAATTTATTTTCCAAGAGTAATTAGAGTATGAGATCATGATGCAAAAGTTAGATCTAAAAGGGAGTAATATACATGTTCTTCACTATATAGCCAGGTCTTCTGAAGACTAAGCACAGCTCCTGCTGTTTGTGGTATTTTTTCAGTGTCCTCTTAAAATTTCATTCAAAAGAACTGGAAACTAATATAGCTGTCCTTCACTAATGAGCAGTTTTGTCTTGTATCTTGGCTAACTGGAGGTGTAAGCTGGAATATTTCACAGTAGAATGATGGCATAAAAGGGTAATTATTTTGCTCTATAATCATGAGTACCTGTGTTTGGATTTGGTGCCTACATAGCAAGCTAGGCATGCTCTCCTGCTTTCCTATGAGCCCAGCATGCTTAGGAGCGGAGGCAAGAAGACTACTGGAGCATGCTCCTTCCAACCTAGCTAAGTAACATGAGCTCCGGGTTCAAGGAGGCCTTGACTCTCTCTTGTGTTTTCCTATGTACCCACCTGAACATAAATATACACACACATGCGTTTTATTTTAAGGGAAGTTGGGCCTGCTGTTCATTAGGTTCAGTTCTTGGTGAGCATGCATGAGACCCTCCACACCTCCTAAGTTCTAGGATTATGGGCAAATATCGTCACACTCAGTTTACAGTCAAATTTTCTTGAGACAGTTTAACTTATGTTTTATGTAAGCACATATAATGGCCGAATGACTACTTGTTACAGAAACCCTTTACCTTCAGTTCAACTTCAGCAGTTAAGTAAGGATAATGTACTCTAGTTTTAATGTGAACTAAAATCATTAGTGTACTTCCCTGCTGTACAATGAGCATGGAGTTATGCAATTCACAATGACCCAAAATAATGCCAAGGTCTCTTTTTCCCTAACTTTAAGCAGTTTTAGAAGCAAGGGCATCACTTTGGAAAAGAACCTCAAATTGTTAAAAATCGTATTCCTGATATCACACAGACAAACAGCAAAAGTAACTCAGCAAGGCAGTTTACTTTTATAAAAGAGAATAGATAGAGACCTTTCCTGGGCAAGCCAGTACATGGGGCCAAAAAGTTCATTTCACCCCATTGGTGAGAACTCACCTTATAATCTGATGCGGTTGGTGTAGCTTTCATATATGTATTGGCCATTTCTTCACATTTGATTTAGGGCCTTATGGTTCCCAAAAAGCCCAATAAAGGGAAAAGTTCATGTATCCAATTTTCAGTCCAACCCTTACTGTACATCAAACTAGACAATGGCAGAAAAGGACACACTTACTGGTAGTTTCTCTCTTGACTATAGTTACTATTTACAAACACAAGAACAAGTTGAATATAATAGAAAATAGTAAATGAAGCAACCAAAGTAAACACTCATTATTCTAGAAGTATCAGACCTCAGGAGAAAATTTAGACCAAAAGAAACTAGAAAAGCAGTAGAATCGGCTGATTAGAGACTCGACCAGCCTCAATGGAAATAATGTTGGGAAGCAAAACATTACAGGTCAAATAAGAAGGTTTCTTGAGGTTTGCAATGCAGCTGTTTCAGAATAGTGATCTCAGGAGAGAAGTTATCAGTTCAAAGAAGCCCAAATGGGGCGTGCTTTAAGGATCTAGTGGTGGCTCCCAACTTTGTACCTTGAGTAGAGATGTTAGATATGACTTGGCTGGTAAAGGACTAGAGGAAGAGCAAGATAGCAGGAAAAGACATATTCCCTTTTATATTTGTTGGGTTTCAGCTGCTTGTGGAGTGTCCCCACACACACAAGTGAGCAAGGAGATGAGTGAGTCTGATCCTGAAAGAGCCCTACCTTGAAGTAGAGCTTGAAGAGAGAAAGGAAACCCTAGTATATTATGTACATGGTAGAGGTAGGAGTGAAGTAGGAAATTTGGGATGAGTGAGAAGAGGAGTAAATACTGAACCCTGAGCAGCATCACTGTTGGATGTCTGTACACTGTAAAGAAAAACACAAGGTGTGAATATGACTATTAACAACAGTTTGCTTGTTTTCCAATCTAACAAGTACATATATTTAGGTGATTTGTTAAACAGCATTACAGTTTTTCATGTTCAGAAATGAATATATAAATAAAATACATTGTTAACCAGGCAGTGGTGACACACAACATTAATCTCAGCACTTGGGAGGCAGAGTCAGGTCTGAGTTGGAGGCCAGCCTGGTCTACAGAGCAAGTTCCAAGACAGCCAGGACTACACAGGGAAACCCTGTCTCGGGAAGGAAGGGGAGAGAGAGGAGGAAAGGAGGGAAGGAAGGAAGGAAGGAAGAGATCCTGAAGGCCATCAACATTATCCTGTTTCCACATAGGTTGGAAGTACTTTTTTCTTTGTCCTGGCATAACTTTTGCATGCTCTAATGTCTTTCTGTTATCCTACTTCTCAGCTCAGCAGCAGTTGAAGCCATCAAGGTGGATCTCCTTTTCCCTCAGTGTTTCTCCACTCCTCCTTAAATCTAAAACTCTCTTTTCTTTTGGCTCCTCTTATTCCAGTGATGAGGAGGAGGAGTTGCATAGTAAGTAAGCTGACTTGGTGTCTAGTTGTTCTCCAAAGTCTGGCTAGTTTTTAAATGTTATAGGCTTGCTACTAAAAGAATTAAATCATTTGAGGGCTTTTCTCTCCTTGTGTGCTGTCGCTTGACTTGCATGCCTTTGCAAATCAATTTTGCTGAAACCAGGTTTTTGTTGTACTTATAACTACTAACGCTGATTGTTTCGGTGGCCTCCTGGTTCCAGCACAGGTGTCTTTCCAGAATACACTCTCAAATGTGAGGGTATAGTCTCACCCCACTTCTGCCCTTTGTAATACTGAGTGCTAGTTTTACAAAACTTCCTGCTTGATACCTCAGTTTGAATTTCAATTATCCACTTTTCTCTATCTTAGGTTCTCTTTCAATCTTTTCATATAATTGAAAAACAAAGCTATGAGATTAGATCCCATAGATTAGGAAATGGAAGTTACATATCTTTTTTTTCAACTTTTGGTTTTGTAAAAGTCTATCTTATGCCACACTCCTCAGGGAGTTACAGGCTTCAAATTAATAAGTTCATAGTAACACTGGTATGAACATTTTTGAGAAATCAATTTTAGTAAACTTGAAATGCAACTGAGTTTTCTTCTATTAGAAGACCTTGACTCCAATTTTGAAGGGCTTCTAGGATACTCTGGAACTTACATTTTTTTTTTAAATGGGAAAACTATTTCTATCATAAAGTAATGAGTGGTTGTGTTAGAACTAATATTATGAGTGCCTAACATTTATTCTACTTGCTGATCTGAAGTAGCAACAATGTATAAAAATTATTGTGGCCACGCTTTGTGTGTCTTTTTAAGGAAAATGTCTTTGGCAGAGAGATATGGTTTAGTTTTAAATGGTAGCCGCATTGGTGTTAAGTGTATTTTGCTATTAAAAGATACTTCACAAAGAAACAATGAGATATTCACATTTTATTCCTTGTACTGGTTAGAAAGGTGCAAAACATTCACCTCAACTTTGTGTTCAGAAGTTCTCAAATCTCTTTGGTCCGAAAGTTGGTAGTACTATAGCAAATAGTCAGGTTATAATAACAAACTGAAACCTCAGTAGAACTTCATTATCACTAGAAACAAACTGTAATGATCTTACTGTAATCTTAAAAATACAGAAGCAGTGGGGTGTTTTGAATGCAGTGTCTAGCATTTCTTAAACCACCAGTCAGATTAATGGGGAGAGAGTAGTGTAACACATTGAGAAGCTCAGTTAAGCTTTAAGATACTTATTAACACATTGTGATGTCCCAAAGCAGTACTTGATATGCTATACTTCCCAATTTTTTAAATTAGGAAACCATAATAATGCATAAAACCATCTATGCTCCATGAGACTCTTGTTCTATAGAACACATTTTGTTGTTCAATGATTTCAGCCCCAAATCCTTAGACTTATAGTCGACCTATATATTATTTTGTGTCTTAAAATAAAAATCTGGTTGAAACGTTATTTATCTGCAATAATATTTAATGGGTTAATGACAGGTTTATTTTCTTCTGTTTATAGTTTTGTCATGGAAATGGCCCATGTTATTGCATACTTTTAAAAGTCTCCTCACTTCAGGAATTTCAGAGGCACTCATTTTGGTGGCAGTGGTAAATGAATCCATTTTTTTTTCCAGAACCACATGTAAAAAGTCATAGTAACTGAAATAAATTCTTTTCCAGCAATAAAACCATTGGGAACTCTTAGAGGTGGTGCCATAGATTTTCTTGATACCTAATCATAGGTATTTAGTTTTCATCTGTTTCACAGAATCAACTAGTATTTTTGTTTTGTCTTTCTTTCTCCCCCCACCCCCGCTTGGCCAAGTTTTTTGTTGGGTATTTTTCTGCAATAAGAATTTGACTTTTACTTTGTATAGTTTACTAGAGTTTGAATTTAGTGACTTGTTTAAATGTACCGTGAAGTCTTGGCAGTCTGGGAGAACTAAATACTTATTTCATTGAGGCTACTGGGTGGGAAAAATTACAAGCCATTGTTTCAATCCATCTCTTGTTTAAAGTTAACTAAGATATCTAGGTTGAAATGTTTATAGTTTCACAACTAGATTCTGCAGAATTGGACATCAGATCCTTTTTTCCCAAGCAATTGTTATCAAATACTGTAAATATAATAGAAGAAACTTATCTTGGTTAGGGCTTCTGTTGCTGTGAAGAGACACCATGGCAACTCTTATAAAGGAAAATATTTAATTGGGTGACTTATAGTTTCAGTGATTTAGTTCATTATCATCATGGTAGGACATGTTGGTGTACAGGCAGACATGGTGCTGGAGAAGGAGGTAAGAGTCCTACATTCGATCCACAGGCAACAGGGAAGTGAACTGACTAGGCCTAGCTTGAGCATAGGAGACCTCAAAGCCTGCCCCCACAGTGACATATTTCCTCTAGCAAGGCCACACCTACTTCAACAAGGCCAAACCTCCTAATAGTGCCACTCCCTATAAGGTTATGGAGGTCAGTTTCATTCAAACTATCATGTTCCACTCCCTGGCTTGTGGGCAAGCTTGTAACCATATCATAATGCAAAAATGCATTTAGTCCACTTTAAAAGTCCCCATAGTCTGTCACAGTCTCAACATTTAAAAGCCCAACATTCAAAGTCCTCTGAGAATCCTGGAGTCTCTTTAACTCTAATCCCTTTTAAAATTAAAAGCAGATCACATACTTCTGACATTTAGTGGTACAGGTTATACATTCCACAACATAGGGTATGGAACATAGTGAGGAAACACTGGACTAAAGCAAAACCAAAGACTAGCTGGGCAAACTCCAAACTCTGCATCTCCATGTCTGATGTCATAATGTTCTTCAGATCTCCAACTCCTTTCAGCTTTGTTGACTGCAACACACTTCTTTTCTGTTAGGAGCATTCCTTGGCAGGTAGCCCACAACTCTGGCATCTTTAACAAGTTGGAGTCTCCAAGGCAATTCAGGCTTCTCCTTCACAGCTTCACAGGGACACCCCTGACACATGCCTGTCCTCAACAGTTTTCCTTAGTCATGGAGGAATATTCCATAATGCCTTTCTTCTGTCTTTGATGTTAAAATAGAACCACATGGCCAAAACTTCCAAGTTCTGCTGCTTACTGGGGCTGGAACATGGCCCCTTTGTTCAATTACCTCTTCATCATCTTTCTGTTTTCAGTAATTTCTTTCACTGCCTAATCCTGTCACAAAATTAGATCTGTTTTGTGATCTGGCTTTAACTCAGAAGTATTTCAATTACATCTTCATCAACTTTCTGTTTTTGATGATTTCCTTCACTGCCTAAGCTTAGCTGTTCTCAAACTTGCTCTGTAGACCAGGTTGTCCTCAAAGTCAGAGATCCACCAACCTCTGCTTTGCCAATGCTAGGATTAAAGGTGTGTACCACCACACCTGGCTCTAAGCTGTTCTGTAACTCTTTTTTATAAATTGGAAACTTATCTGAGTGGGATCTTGCCATGGTGTCACCACTCCCATATTCCATTTCTTAATCTGTTTATCTCCTTGAACACAGGACTTAGTTCCATTCCACTTCCTAGAGCTCTTTTTCTCCTCAAATTGTACATTTTGTATTTTTCCTTACTCAACTTGCTACTTTTCATTATAAGCATATATAAGCATGAACACTAGTAACCACACAGCAGAGTCTATACTAGGCTTGTTTTGAAATTTCCTCTGACAATGAAATTAACCTGAATCTTTCCACTTTAGCCTCAGGCAAACGCTTAAGACAAGGGCAAAAAGCAAAATATCACAAGAACAATTTCTAGGCCACGTTTACTGCCTCTGAAACCTCCTGAGCCAGCCCCCTCTCACCCATCCCCTCACCTACCCCCCACCCCCAGTTTATGAAATCACGTTCATGCTGTCTTTTCATGCTCCTAAGAGGGCCCAATAAGCATTACTTGTGTCCAATTGGTTTTCTAATCCACAGTCCCAAGGTTCATACTCCTTCAAACGACAACGTAGTTCAGGCCTGTCAGAGCAACACCACAGTCCCTGATACTAAATACTGTCTTAATTATGGTTTCTACTGCTGTGAAGAGACATCATAACCACAGCAACTATTACAAAAGAAAACATTCAATTGAGTGGCTTACAATTTTAGAGGTTTAGTTCATTATCGTAATGGCAGGACATGGTGGTGTATAAGCAGACATAGTGCTGGAGAAAAAACTGAGATTCCTACATTTTGATCCACAGGCAACAGGAAGTGAACTGAACTAAGCCTAGCTTGAGCATAGGAGACCTCAGAGTCCACCCCCACAGTGACACATTTCCTCCAACAAGGCCACACCTCCTATAACGCCACTTCTTATAAGTTTTTGAGGTCCAATTATACTCAAACTACCACAAACCCCAAGTTGCCAAGTGCAGGGAAAACAGAAGTTTAAAGATTCCTTTAATGTTTTGTTTACTTTAGTCCTACCAGTTGAATATTAAGATGCTCAATATAGTAACAACAATTACAATATCAACTGTAATTTTATATTTAAAATGTAGAACAGATTTGAGGTTAAAAGAATTCAAAATGCCAATAATGTCATTGTGGAGCATCTTCAAATCTCTCAGATCAAGTTTTACTCATAATAACCTCAGAGGCTCTCAAAAGTGACCTTACAGAAGAAAGTGTGTATGTTTTCACCACATGATAACAGTAGTTAATTATATAGTAATTAGGTGTCGGCTATTATACTAAAAGTTAAAAGCCATTCACCTTTTAACTTTGCTCACTTCTAAATTCCCAATAGTAGTTCAAATCATTCTTATTTTAAATTTCTTATTTATTCCTTTATTTAGCCATAGAGAAATAATTCTGCTGTTCACTTTTTCCATTTACTCCCTGCTACCTCACTTAGCCTTGGAATTTTCATAGTTGGGTTCCATTTCTCTTAAGGGAGGAGAAAGAAGGCACCCACCCCAATCGTTTTATCACTGGCAACTTGAAAGACGTAACAGTCTGGTTCCCCTCATTTCACAGTTGAGGAGCTGATCTGGAGAAGTCTTTCCAAACCAGAGGTGGTGCCAGGGCTTTTTGAGGCAGCACTCTGCTCCATGCCCAGGAAAATATCAGACAATAATAGATTACTCAGATGGAAATATTTACAAATGGGATCAAAAGTAGAAGCTGTACCATTTACTTTTTTCTTTTATATTCTTTGATAACATCTCAGAAGGATGGCCTATGGGAACTGAGTATTCATTAAAAACAGAAGCTAAATGTGCTTCACCTGTATTTAAGCATAAAAACTAGTATTTTCAGTTACTTGGATCCTGGATTATATTTGCTTTCTTCATGAAAAATTCACTCTCTTGCCTCCTGTTTCCATTCTAATTTGAAAGCTTCCAGTTTAATTTCTCCTTCTCCTAAACTTTTTAAGGAAGAGGTACCATGCACTGACTTTCAAAGACTTTGTGCTTTTTATCTGAGAATCTTTAGGTGGTTTATCTGTCATCAGGACAAGATCCTTGTGTGCTAATGTTACCTCTACTGTTTTTGTTTTCTAGATTCACGGCCCTTCCACAGTACCAGTGCTAACCTGACTGAGAGGTAGGATGCATTTATTTTCTTACTCCTTTTCCCAAAATGAAATGAAGACAATACTAGCTATCGTGCCACATTTAATTTGAATATCCTAAGTTCTTTGAGCTCACCCAGGTTCTGACTTCCTTGACTGGCAAGTTTGAAATAATTAGAAAGTAGTGTTTTCATAATGAAGGCTTTGTCTTCAGTCACCTCTCTTACTCTTTATTTTGTGTGTATGGTAAAGATGGTTATTTGCTTTTATTCACATAAAATATACTTATTTGACAATATACACTTAAGTTACTTGGCTTATGGGAATTTTTTAGTTTTTGAATAAATATAATATTTTGCTTCATAATACATACAGGCATGTGTGTGTATGTGCGTGCGTTCACGTATGCTACATATGTGAATTACACAGTCAGTGTTGCTATCTTCTTAACCTTTAAAGCTGAGGGTTGGTGATGTATGTAGTTCAATGGTTGTGCTTAGTTAGCATATATGAGACTCTGGTTTCTATCCCCATTCCAAAAAAGGAAAGCTGCATGTAGTATATACCTCTGTCCATGTAGAATTGAGGTTTTCTTTTCTCTCCTCTCCCCATCTCTTTGCTTTCTAATACTGGGAGCAAACCCCGGGATTTGTGCATGCTAAGAAAGCGGTCTACCACTGAGATTCATTCCAGCTGGACTTGACAACATGCACAGATTCCTGTCATTTCTGTTTCCCTGTGTATGTTTATGAAGTTAAACCTTGTGATTCAGTGTCATTAGATTTCTGATGATTTTAAGTTGCCCTCCTTCTCACAAAGACTTCAGTTATGATTGTGACCTTGAGTCCTTCCAGTGATTGTTTCTCTTCATGCTGCTTTCACATGGTCATCTTTCTTTCTCTAGAGCAGTTGCTTTTATGCCATTCCTGTTTTCTCTTAAAAAAAAAAAAAAATGAACTTCTTTGTTTTATAACTATCACATATATGTAAATATGGCTGTTAAGAGGGTCCTCTTGTGATTCTACTTACAAATGCGCTCTCAGAGGCTAACACTACTGCCCTGTGGAATGGTGTGAAGATGAATGGCTGTTGTAAAATAGACAAGCAAAATAATTAGATGGAGTCTTTATCCTTATAATGTATTTATAAGTATACTTTAAGGAAATGCGACCATTATAAATTTCCTAAAATCAGAATCTGTCCAGATTAGATGCACTTAAATTTCATATAGACTTTTTGAACAAGTAAATCAGTAAATTTGGATCTCTAGGAATCTCTGTAACAAATCTGTCTACAGTCAGCCTGAAATATGCTTATTCTTCACTCCAAAATTGTATATTGCTTCCTGGACCAGTCTGTAGTTCGTTGATAGGCCTAAAGACTACAAGAGATGTCCTGACCTAAAATTTGTTTTGCCATCTTTCTCAGCACACACCCTGCCATTCATTCCACTGTGTGCGAAGAAGTTGGTATATCCAATGCTATTTTATGCTCAGTTCCATATTTGCTTTTATAGTATATGAGACCATTCAGTAGCCTATGCCTGCTTCTTGCTCAGCCCACTGTTTAACTTTTCTAGTCACGAAAAACATCATCTTTTTGTTTTCATCCAGTATAACAGAAGAAAACTATAACTTCCTGCCACCGAGCCCCTCAAAAAGGATTTTGAAGGGAAGAGTGGGACAAAAGTTAGTCGCACCTTCAGCTACATCAGGAATAAAATGTCCAGCAGCAAGAAGAGCAAAGTAAGTATCTCCTGGGCATTCTCTGTGTGACCACCTCAGTCAGTCACCACTGCATATAAGCAACAGGAACAAATGGGAATAATTTCAGAGGTACTTTGAAACAGTCTCATGCCTGGAGAAAAGTAACAATGCAAGCAGCAGCTAGTAATGCTGCCACTGTTTTACCACACACCAAATGTTGCCCATGCATCAATCAACTCACTGTACCCTTTCACGAGCCCTGCTGGTGCTGGTCTTACCCCTTCTTTAAGGACTGCCTGTTTAATGCGGGGAAGAGGTTCAACCCCAACCCCCTCTAGCCCCTCGTCCCATACATTGAACCTCAGTGCAGAAATGATTAAATCAGGTTTAAAATCCAGTGGAAGGACTTTAGGCTGAGATCAAAGCATAAATGAAAAGTATATAACAGATATATAGGAAAGAAAATTATGCTTCAGAAAATTACAAGAACGTTTAAGACCTACTTAGATCTGTTTCTATTTAGGAAGATTTGTGGTGTATCCTCTTTAATAATTAAGAAGCTAAATTAAGATACTTAAATTTGGGTTGGAGAGATAGTTCAGGAGTTTAAGAGCACTTACTGACAGCTCTTCCAGAGGACCAGAACTCAATTCCCAGCCCCCTCATAGTGGCTCCAGTGACATCTAAACTCAGTTTCCCCAATACAGTTGTTGCTTATTCATCACAGGATTCTATAAACTAAGAAATAAATCTATAGTAACCCCACATATTCTCAATATTTTGATTTGTGTGTTTTTAATGTCTTTTGTTTTCAAGACAGGGTCTCACTGTATAGTACTGGCTGTCTGGAACTCACTCTGTAGACCAGGCTATGCTCCCAGAGATCAGCTTGCCTCTGCCTCCCCAGTGCTGGGGTTAAAGTCGTGTGCCACCACCACCTGACTGTGATATGTCTTAAAAAGAAAGAAGTTAACTTTTTTATACTGACTCCTGATCTCAAACCAAAACTATTTTCATTTCAAACAAGTGAGGGAAACACTACCCCACCACGTTGCACTGTTTACTTACCTATAATCATCTATCTACATGTGTAAAGAAATAAGCAATCAAAGGACCTCTTGAAATGAATCACTGAAACATATCTCTGTACATTGCATATATAAGTATATGCACATAAGCACACATGTGTATACATATATACTGAACTCAACAGCATTCATCTAAAAATATACCCTCTTCATAGCAACTACACACCCCGTGTCCAGCAGTAGTTGGCCAACCCAAAATGAACGCCATGGTATTTTTATTTCATTTGCTTTGTTTTGGCTTTTTTGTTGTTGTTTTTGTTTTTGTTTTGTTTTGTTTTTGTCTTACTGTTCTTTTGCTTATTTGTTTTGATGTTTCATTTTTGTGCTTTTGCAGGATTTCTTGATGTTTTGGGGGTTTTTTTGGGTTTGGAATTTTTTTTTTAAGAAAGAGAAGAAAAGAATATACAGTTGGGGAAGTAGAGTAATGGGGGAGATCTGGGAGGAAAACATGATCAAAAAACATTTAATTTTTTTCAATTAAAAAAATGCCCTTTTTTCTCTAACTAAGCCTTCAAGCACTCAGTTATGTGAGCGGATAGAAATACAGCCAATTGATGTTACTAGCTGAATTAGCTTTCTATTACTGTAACAAATTACCTGATAAAATCAGCTCTGAGGAAGAGAGATTTACCTTGACTTCAGAGCTGTCAGCCTGTGTTCACCTAGATGGTGAGTACCTCACAGTCAGAGTGTCTGCAGGAGGAGAAGCAAAGAGTGAGTCAGGAGCCATGCTCCTAACCCCCTTCAAAGGCACACACCTCAGTAAGTCCCTTCTAGTAGGCCCTTTCCTCCTGTGTGTCCTACCATCTGCACACAGTGTCACCGTGTAGGGAGCAAGTGCCTTTGGGGTACATTTACTATCTGAGCTGTGACACCATGGCCTAAAAAATAGTACAAAGGTTTGGTCCTTTCTTTTAGGGATTTTTTCCCCCATAAAACCCTTATACCAAAATCTGCTTTTTCACCATTTTTCTTACCAAGTGCAAAATGAAGACACAGTCTAGTAAATAATTTCTAGCCTAATTATGTGTTTAAGTATTGGCTTCATTCTTATGCTTGTTTTAGAGCTAAAATATATAGGATGTGATACAACCCAGTATCCCACATACTGGCAAGAACAGAACCTACATGTTTTGTTTAGCTTGATTGATTGATTGATTGATTGATTGATTGATTGATTGATTGATTGATTGATTGGTCAGTAGTCGCCGTGAACAAAAAGAAAACCCCCCTGGGAAAATTAATATAAACTAGCCACATATTGTTAAATGGCCTCTGTGCTCAGTGGTCTGTAGTGCTCAGTCTTAACCTGGAAAATGTTGTGGTCTGGTTTGATTGAATTTCAAGATATTTTTTTTTTTTGTTTTTGTTTTGGTTTTGGTTTGTTTTTGTTTTGCTTTTAAACTGTGGAGTCTTACCCAAACACATACACACATAATTGTAAGACCAGCAAGTGAGTGGAGATTCTCTTCGACCCACCACCTCTCCAATGGCATGGCTTTTGAATCCACATGGTGAACATGACACGGAGTTTGCTGAGGGGGTAATACAGGGGTAATACAGACAGCAAAAAAGATAATGTGGGTCCATACTCAGAAACGGGAACTTGACCTTTAAAACGGAATCTCACCCCAACTTCCATACTCCACAAACCTGAATAAAATGTGTCTCAAGTAATAAGGCTGGATAGCACTCGGGCAGGGCTACCTATGGTCTGGCTCCCCACACATGTTGCCTGTCATTGTGTGCCTTCTCTTCAGCCACATCTCTCACTTAAGTAGCTTCTTTTTCCTTTTTCTTTAATATGTTTCTACTTCCAAGTACTAGCATTAGGTATGAGGGAGGTGATGAGATGGGACAGGAACAAAAAGCTATCTATGTTAGCGTCAGTCTGTTATCACTGTCAAAGAACCAGTTGACCTCTTGCCTCCACTACTCTCCTTAGGCAAAATGACCAACACTCTTTTGCAATTGGCCTGGTTCCCCTTTTCAGACTTGGCTTCAAAATTTGATCGTTGGGGGCTATACTGTCATCCAGCAGTGGGAAACTCCAAAAATTGTAAATACATAATTCCTCAGATTGTAGTACTATTCCTTTTAGCAGTTGTTTACAAGTGCTCCAATGGCCAGATATATTAATATGTCGTCCTTCTAGTTAGTGGTTGCAGGCTAACTTTTAAATAAGACCGTTATACAAGCTGTGAACACTGTCACTTTGTCAATATAGGCAGATGTAATGAGAAAAAAAATAGTCATATGTCCAATCCAATGCACAAATAAATGAGTATCGATCTACTGTTTTTCCTGTTGAATGCTTCACATGTTATTTAAAAAGGGAAGTGAAACCATAGATATTAACACTAATTTTCCTATAAAAACGATGAGCTTTCACTTCTTTTTAACCTGTTTAGGGTCCTTTTTTTTTTTTTTTTTTTTCTTCTCAGTGCCGGGAATTGAATACCGGGCCTTGCACATCTTAGGGCCAGTACTATAACCACTGAAGTGTTTACAAGTGCTGAGAATTTATTAATATGTGTTAATGAGAGTGCCTAATTTTCCTTGTTTTATTCAGCCACTAACTAAACATATCTCCTTTTAAAGAAAAAAAAAAAAAAAGTAAGTACTTAATGAATATTATACCAAAATAATACATATAAATTGTGAGTATAGTTAGGAAAGTTTCTGTGTGAACATTGTATACGTATCTGTGAGAATACAGTTATAAACTTGTGTTTGTTTTTCCACATGTTAGCTGTGACTGCCAACAGTCTTCAGACACTCAGAGTAGCCAAAGTCAGCTATTAGACAGGGAATGGTCCACATTCTTAGACGATGTGTTGCCCAATAGTGACAGATTTTTATGGATGTAGTTTTTATTGTATAGGGGGTTTAGTTACCAATTCTGCATATGTACTTTTGACAGTCATCAGTAACTTGCACACGTTGCAAGATGTATATACTGAATGCTTTTTAGAAAGCTGGAAAGATCTAAACAGGAAGTACAAGAGGAAGATGGGCAGTTTCTCCTTTTGTTATACTGTTTTCTGCTTGGTAAATTGTGTTTGTTATACACATATCAAGTCCTTGCATACATAGTGCTCATCTTCATAAAGAGAGTGGTCTTTATGTTACTGATTATCTCTTTCTATCAGGCTCTTAATTTTACAAGGACAACTACAAGACACTGGAAATATTTTAGACCAATTCCTTGTATGACTCAATTTTTTTTCTGAGTAAAAAGGATTAGCTTCCTCCCCAGCTGATGTACTTTATTAACTTTATTATGAGACTTTCAGCCCCGGTCCTGGTGTCTGTGCCTGTGTGTGAAAGAACTGTATCCATCATCCTTTCCAAGACGCCTGATCATATTAGTTGTCCAGAACACCCTGACTTCTAAAAGGAGAGTTTTGGAAAATAAAAACCGATTTTCTTCTACAGCACCCTAGAGTCCTTGTGATCAGTTGCTTCTATTTCTAAATGCCATTAGATTCTTTTTCCACGGTACAATTAAAGCATGTTGGCAATTGTTAAATATAGACACATTAAATTTAAGAAAAGTAATCAGTCACCCATTTTACCATGGACGACTTTGCTAAAATAATTTTGTGTAAAGCTTTACTTTTTTATTAAGAGTTTGCTAGATAAGTGTGGCCTCTGTCCTTGCCAGATTTCCCATATTACATTATAAGTTCTGTCCATACATGTATCTGAAAGGTACTTCATTTTAATCTCACTTCCTGTGTTTTTTAGAGTGGGGTAGTTAGTTTTACCCACAGCATTTAAATAGTTAAGACTGTCTCAAGGAAGCAAGCAGTCTCAACCCTCCCCTCATGCGCTTTCTCAACCAGTTTCTGGCTTCCTCTTATGGTTTTGCTAATGGCAGCTCTGAGCTACTGAGCGGTCTGCCATACCGGCCATGAGCACCTCCCTCTGTGAAAGAGCATTTCCTGGCATGGGGGTCAGATCATGTCGGTAAAATGGGGTCGGCTTCCTGAAGTTCCTCTCATAACAGTGCGATTCACAGGACCAAAACATGGGCAGGTAAGAGCCCGGACTCTTCAAAGCACTGGACTAGAACAACAGGAGGCTGCAGTGCAGTTTGTTGTTTTGTTTTTGTCCTTGGAGGAAGTAGTCCGGATTACTGTAAGGGTAAGAAAATGGATTATTCAGATCTGAAGAACATTACAGTTCTTCAGACAATAATGCAGCTGCCATAGCAAGTTGTGTTATTGAACTTTAAAAAAAAAAAAAAAAAAGCATTGGAGCATGTTTTAACCTTCAGGCCAAAAAGAAAAAAAGAAAGAAAGAAGTCAGATGGTTTTAAAGTTAACATTTTATGCATGGAGAAATCTGCACAAAAAATATTAAAAGAGGTTATTTAGATATGTTCAACGTTTGGTAATTTGAGTCCTACACACTTTAGCAATTACTAATTTTTGTTCAGAAGAGTTTCCTGTTTTGTAAAGCGGTCGCCCCCCCCCCCCATCCTTTCTGTTGTTTATAGTTTTAAAATGCAGCATTTGGCACTTGGGTTTTTGTTATATGTATTCTGTTAAGGGAGAATTTCTCGTGTATCATAGATTTTACAAGTAACCCATTTTATCCATTGGGTGGGTTCTGAGCTTTAGCAAATTAGAAGATTTAGTTCCTATCTGGTTCTTATCATTGCTTTGTAACCCTTTGCAACTCAGGGAGCCTCAGCAACCCTTTACAGTAAATGTGGTTCGTGAGAGCTAAGCTTTAGTCATACAAAACTATACCAGGTCCAGTTTAACACTGGTGGTTCTGTGCTCTAACTGTCCCTGTCCCAAGAAAATACATATAAATTACTAATTTCAGTGTCTGGTACAAAGTAACTATTTATCATTTTAAGTGTCATTCATTATTCTCTCTTGTAAAATGGGAAGCGTGATAGCAGTCTTTCAAATGACTGACTCTATTTAGATAGCCCCTACAAGTGGCATTGCCATGATGTGTTTAATGGTCAGCATGGTCACTCACTTTGAGAAGCTCATTCTCAGGTATTTTTTTTTCCTAGATTGTAATCATAGTATAAAAGAGTAGGTAAAGATCACCTCAGGACTGGAGGTCTTCATGCTTTGTAAGGAAATTACTCTATTAATCTTGTTAGTCAGTTGAGCAGCTAGTGTAGTGGCCAGGCCTGCAATAAACATGAGGTGAATGTCAATTTCCTATTCCCTTTTACAGAGCTAAGAGGCAGCCGTAATGCAAGAAGAAAGCCTTGCAGTGAAAATCAAAGACAGTTCTCAGAAAGCCCCTGCTCTTCGAGCTGGAGACAAGGCCTGCTTTTCCTGTCTTGTTGGGCTTTAGGGCGAGCAGCTGAGCCTTGGGAATTCCCTGTCCCAGGTCCCCAGGCTTTTGAGAGGAAATGAGTGCTGTAGTGATCAGCTTGAGGACACAAAGAAGGTGGTTGGGGAAGGCTGCTGACAAGGCTGCTTGTCTTTTCTGTGCCTCGTATTTCCCATGCACCAGCATCTGTTCCACTGCTCTTGGGTTATTGTCTCCCTCCCGGCCGAAATCAGAATGTCCTTTCCTTCTCTACAAAAGATTGCAGTTGTGTTGAGTTAGAGTAATAAGCTGATGACACTCATTTTCAGTGAGATGTGAATAATTACTATAATGTATTAAATGTTATTAGTGTTGCTGGGCTTTAACAAAAACAGAACTGTAAAGTAGGTATCTATCCCATTTTGCAAATGCAAAGCCTGGGGCTCAGAGAAATAATTTGCTTATAGTCCTACCATTAGTAGAACTTAGAACTGACTTCATGCTTAACCTCTGTGCAGTTTTCAGCCTTCTTTGTCACAACTGAACACAACCAAAATTAATATCTGGTAACCTACTGAGTTCTAGTTAGTAAAAATACATATGTAGGGTTATTTCATAGTTGGGATTAGAGTAGGAAAGAAAATGTCATGGAGACCCATTATTCAGGGACATACATGTGGTTGTAAAAGGGAGAGAGGAGCTTAACAGAACTTTTTAGACTTTGTGACATTGTTTTTCTTCCTCAGACTGAACCATCCATCCTTCTGCTCCCTTTCTAAACTGACCTAAATTCAGTGCTTCCTATGTGTACTATGCCATGCCTTACTAAGAAAACCTTCCTGCTGTGGGCTCTGCCCTGTCTGTTAGTATAAACAGCCCCTGATGACTCAGAACTCCTAAGTCTTTCTAATGGGAGCTTGCATGATTGAAAATTAATAAAATGTTGCCCAGAGGATTGTTCCTCATTTCTGTCTGCAGTGGACACCACCCTCTGTTGACCACATGCCATCTATGTGTTCAGGTAAGGGGAAGGCCTTCCAGTGCTGTTAACTGTTGATCCTTTTCTTTGGCAGGAAAAGGAAAGGGAAAAAGATAAAATTAAGGAGAAAGAGAAAGACTCTAAAGAGAAGGAGAAAGATAAGAAGACTGTTAACGGGCATGCTTTCAGTCCCATTCCTGTTGTGGGTCCCATCAGCTGCAGCCAGTGCATGAAGCCTTTCACCAACAAAGATGCCTACACTTGTGCAAGTAAGAGACATGCTTTCTTCCTTTCAGTAGATGAGGGTCTCTTGCTTCAAGAAAGCTAGTTTGTTTCTAGCCTCCTGTGCATCCCACCGGTGATCTAATCATCATCTATATGGAGAAGTAACTGTGTGTTTTTCTTCTAATTTTAATCATGTAACTTAAATTTTTTTCAGATATTTCTAATTTCAGATTCTCTGCTTGAAAACCACCTCCCATTGCCAGAAACCTGGCAAATCAAAGCAGAACATAGATAGCCTCAAACCTTAAAGCTGCCCCAATCTTTTGTCTGATCATATATACTTACTTTTATACTCTGCCCCCCCCACACACACATCCAGCACACACACACACACACACACACACACACACAGATACACATGCAGTTTAGAGATTCAAACTCAGGACCTGATATAAGAAAGCAGTCTACTCCTGAGGCCCCCTCCCCCACACACACACCCAGCCCTGTGCATTTGTTTTTAAATCTGGTCCTCTGGAATGTGATTCAGCCATCTTCTGTCATTAAGTCATGATGGCTACCAGAGGAGTGTCTGCATGTGCACATAAGCCCATGTTTCTGTTATTGATCTGCTGAAAGACAAGTCTATTAACTGAGCATGGCTCTCCTTTTGATAAGACATTCTCAGCAAAAGACAGTTGGCTTTCTCTGTACAAGACTTAGATAACAAGTGTCTGTGTCACAGCCACTGCATTCTACAGTTGCAATGCAAAGGCAGACATAGATCGATCAACAAGAATGGCTCTGTTCCAATAAAATTTCATTTGCAGACACTGACATTTAAATTTTTGCATGCCATGTCATTTCATCTTTTCAATTCTTTTTCAGCCATCTAAAATATAAAAGTCATGCGTGGCTCATTGACTCTGAAATGAAGCAACAGGCTAAATCTGTCACACATAATATAATTTGCAAATCTGCTCTACAGCAGTACTTCTCAAAATTGTGTTAGGGCACACATAGAAAGTAATTGTATTTGTAAAGCATATCAAGGTAAAACCTGGAAGCTGTTTTGCTCAGAGTTAAGCAAGCCAGGAATCAGCCCTCATAGGCCTAGCACTAGGAGGCTGGATGGTTTGTCTCATGTTAGACCTGTGCCACATGTGGATGAGACAGTGCTAAGTCACACTCTGAGGAGTGAGTCTCTCACCTGTAAGATGATCTCCTGTTCTGAGTCATTTATTGTGCATTCCAAGTAATCTGTTACTAAAAATAGTTAGCTTACTAGAATTGAAAGAGCTAAAAGTTTATATGGGCAGATTCTAAAAGTTTATATGGGCAGATTCAAAGTTCTATAATAATTTTGTCTCTCTTGCTTTCTTTTATACAAAAGAGGGGTGAGGCTACAGCTTGCAAAGATCCTGAAACCTGTCTTACCTGTGTCACAGCCATTATAACTTTCGTAAATAAATTAAAAAAGGCTTGGTCACATATGTTCTTATAAATTTAATGTGAAAGATATGTTATATCCCCCAAAGTAATCTATAGCCCTATTTATTTTGCTCTTTAAAGGGAAAAGCACTTAACTAAATCAGTATGCATTTCTTCAGGCAGAGATCACACACATTATCGCTATCCTCCGTGTCTGACTTAGCAGAAAATTGAGAACTGCATCACATAGTACTGAGTTTCAGGTAAACTTTATGAAGCAAGAGGCTCTGTCCAATGTGTCCGATATCCCCATAATGCTTTCCTTTTGAAACCTAGGCTCTAATAAGGACTCTCTGCCTCAGCATAAAATGTCGACACTTTAGGTTTTTGTCCATAGCAAACAGTCCGCTTCTCAGTACTGCAGCTAATTTAGTTGGCTACAACAGAAGTCAATAAGCACCTTTTTTTAACAAGCCACTTTATCTATTTTTAAAACATTTTAAACACATTAACCTTGTGCATTTAAAACTATACTTAACAAAGAGTACATTGTAAGGATCAAAGCCACAGGTTTGACATTTTATTTTCTGGTTAATTATTAGTATGGTTGGTATTGTCCTTGAACCACAGCTTCTGAAAAGAATTTGTATAGCTGTCTCTTTCATTTTATTGAACATAAAAGCAAGGTATTCATCACAACATGATGATGATCAGATAAAGAACAATATTGTTGGTCCATGTCTTGGGTGAGAAACACCTCTTCTCCCTCAAGAAAGCCTCACTGTATATGTAAAGTGGAGCTGCCTAGCATAGGACTGAGTGAGGCACCAGTGTTCCAGTCTATATGTTGACTCTGTTTCTCATTTTAAGAGCCATTTTAAGACCAATTGTGAAACAAATTTCTGTGGGGTTTGGTTCACATTCAAATCATAACAGAAATCAGTATAAATGGAAGCTGCAGTGGCTGGAAGTATAGTTCACGGGAGCACTTGCCTAGCTTGTATAACTTGAGTCCATTCCCCATCACTGGGAGAAAAGCAAAGCCATAAAAATTTACTTTTGGTTTTAAATATTATTTTGCATATTCCCTCCTGTTCCTTATGAAAGTGCTTTTGTTTGTTTGTTTGTGAATCATTAATATCAGAAAAACATTAAAAAGCCACCATTCTTTGAAAAGTTCATACAGTCTGTCTTGAGCACATTCACACATGCCCAACTCCTCCCATAACCATCTACCCATTCTTCCCATCAGACTTTGAGTATACTCCATGTCCCAGTCTAGTCCAGTTGGTGTTGCCCAGCTAATCTGACATGTGGTCAACATACCAGGGGTTACATCATTTAAGAAAACTGATTCTCCTTTTTACAGGAGCTATCACATACCAATAGTTTCTCAGCTAGTGCCCATTTTGGCCCATCTATGCAGGATTTTGTCTGGCTTGAACTTCACAGTCTTGGGCATGTTGTCAAAATCACTGTGAGTTCATATGTGCCTCTGCCTTGTTGTATCCACAAAACACTATTTCCTTGGAGTTTCCTACCACCTCTGGCTCTTACATGCTCTGCATCTCCTCTTCCAGGAGTATCCCTGAGCCTTATGGAAAGGGATGTGATGAGGTCCTTTTTAATAAAAAGAAATTTAGTATTGGCAATAACAGTGACACAAAGTATACATTCCCATTCAAAATGAATGAATAACTTGAAGGCTTGGACTAAACAAGATCAAAACCCAACATGGCAAATATTAAATAAAATGCCCAACATCTGGAGACACATAATGCTATGATGTGGGCCCAGAGGTCTTGAGCAGGTTTGCCCTTATGGCATTGCTGTTTATGATTCCTTTGTCCCTCCCTTTAAGGCAGGCTCCCCTAATTAACTGCACCTTTCTTTGATAATATTCCATGTCCCTAGGGTCCCTTTGAGGGACTTCTTTGAAGATTACAGCTATGCTATCCATCTCCTGACCTTCATTCCTTCCTTTGAAATCAGGGTAGAAGCCCCTGATAACTCTTGGATTCTGCCTAAATAAAAACAAAAACAAAAATCAAAATGGTTAATACTATGTAAATAAAATCAGGGACTGCCACAAGTTCAAGCAGTAGCTAAGGCCCCCTTGAAACATGGATGCATAGTCTCAGAGTGCACATGCAGAACACTTTCCTAACAGTGTGCCAGTGCCACCTTTGCCTCAGATGCTTGAAATATAGTTAAAGGATTTAATATTGACTTTGTTGAGTGTGATCCTGATTGCTTTGGTCCAATCCTTTCCTGTGACATGTTTCCCTAATATCAACCATACAAGCAGTTCTCTACCTAACAGGTAGCCCTGGACTTCTCAAAACAGTGTTTTCAAATGAATTAAAACCTCTACACCCTAGAGCTTGGAATGAATGGCGTCCAGCCAGTTTTGAGACGTCCTCAGGATATCTTTCCTATTCCTTCAATATCCTTGGCTTCTTAGTGGCTCTAAGAAGCTCCTTTTTCCCTGGCCCCAACTTTGCTTATACTTCTAAACTTCTGTGCTGCTGTAAGCAGCCAGTAAAGCTCATTCCACAGCCTGAATGCTGAGCCTTTGCAAAATTTCCTCCACTAAAATTTTTAACCCATCACTTTCAAGTTCAACCTCCTTAGTCTCAGGGCTTGCTCAAAATGCAGACAAGTTCTTGGCCACAGCTTAAAATGAATGGCATTAGTCCAGTTTACAGAGCTGTCTTCATTCCCCTTCAGAAACCTCACCAACGTTCTTCCTGTCCCTTTTCCTGATAACATTCTGGGCATTTGCACTCACAACAGAATCACTCACTAAATTATGCTCATGTATCTGAGAACTCTATAGGGCATCTCCAGAACTTTTGAAATGCTCAAGTGCCAATTCGCAAAAGCTCCTTCATGGTCAGATTAGCTACAGCTAATTACTTTTGACTTTCTTCTCCTGACAAATACTTGAGGAAGACAACTAAAAGGTAGTGATAATTTATTTTGACTGATAGTTCCAGTCCACCTTCTCAGGAAGGGTGTGTCAAAGTAGAGCTGGTCATGTCATAGTGCCAAGGAAACAGGAAAACAATGCCTACACTTTCTAGCTTTTTCCCTTTTCGATTTACCTGAGTCCCCAGCCTATGGGATGGTACCATTCACATTTATCGGAGGCCTCCCCTGCTTAGTAATGTGGAAATGTCCATATAGAGACACTCAGTGTGTCCTTTCTCTGTCCAATCAAGTTGACAGTAAAGAGGCAGAGGCAGGCAGATCTCTGTGAGTTTTTGGTCAGCCTGGTTTCATAGCTAGTTCCAGGATAGCCAGAGTGTAGTGGCATCTAGTCTTGCCAGTGAATTTGTGTTAGTGGCCACATCCCTCTGGGCATGACTTCAGGTTTGGATGGAACCGGAAAGAGGGAAATGTGAGGCAGACTCTCTCTCTCTCTCTCTCTCTCTCTCTCTCTCTCTCTCTCTCTCTCTCTCTCTCTCTCTCTCTCTCTCTCTCTCTCACACACACACACACACACACAATAACATGTAGACAATTCCACAGATATTTTAAATGTATAAATGTATATATAATTTAAATGGATCTCAAAATTCTGTAACAGGATTAGTTGTTTTTTCTTAGAAAG